AAGCATTAAAGGTTATATCCCTGTGGATAACTTGCTTAAAAAAAAAAGGTATTATTTTAGCATCTAAATGTTTTTGTTGCTCTAATACTGAAAATATTGATCATTTGTTCATTAATGGTTTGGTGGCGCACAAGGTGTGGTTGTATTTTAGTGGTATTACTAACCAAAATGTGAGCATGTTTCAGAACAGCTTAGCTTCTATGCTTGAAAGTTGGTTTATTCCTATTAAAGGCCATATCCGGAATTTTTTGCCTATTTTGATCTTATGGTATATTTGGAAAGCTCGTAATGAGGCTAAGCATGATAATATTAAGATGGATCCTACTCTTATTATTAACAATATTAAGAGAAAGGTTTTCCAGCTTTTTAATTTGAATGTGATTTCGAGCAAGACCTTTGCCAAGCATGCGATTTTAGCTGGGGCTTTTTATATTCATTTAGATACGACGTTGATTAATATTCGTGAGTCTTTCGTTTATTGGATTAAACCTAAACTGCATTATGTGAAATTAAATACTGACGGTCCAGTCGATAGGGAAAAGGCTAGAGCGGGTGGGCTCATTAGGGATTTTGGTGGTGAAATTTTAGCAGCTTTTGCTGCTCCTGTGATTAAGCGAAATGTTATTTTTGTGGAGCTTCAGGCTCTCCATTTTGGCTTAGATCTCTGCTTAAAAAAGGGTTTTAACAATGTTTGGATTGAAGTGGACTCTCTTTTTTTTCTTGTTCAAAATGTGGGCAAAGGTAATATTGGTAATGGTCATGTTTTTTATCTCTGTATAAATATTAAGCTGAAGTTGAACTTATTAAATTTTAAAATTTCTCATATCTACCGGGAAGGGAATGGGTGCGCGGATTGGCTTGCCAAAAAGGGTTCTTTGATGGAGGATTATGAGGAACTGGATATTCTTAACATTTACCCTATTCTCAAAGGGATGCTGTTAATGGATAAGTGTTATTTACCTTACATCAGACATGGTTGAGCTGGTTTTGGTTGTTTTTTGGTCTTGTCTTTTTGGTCTTTCGTGGCTGTTTTCTATAAGGTTGGGTTTCTGGGTGTGTTTCCTGTATTGGTTTTCTGATCTGTGGCGGGGGATTTACTTTTCTCTGCCCTTGTGATGGGTGGCTGTCGGACTGGTTTGTTGGTTTTTCAGTGGGCTTATTTTGAGCTTGGTATGGGGTGTTTCTGGTTGGGTTTTATTTTTATCAATACATTCAATGCAAGACAAAAGAATTATTATGTATGCTCCTTCTTGTCAATATCAATAAATAAACTAGTATAAATGGTAAACAATCTATACAA